GCTGCTCTGTGGGTCCACCATGGTGATCCCACCTTTGACTTCCATCCTGGAAGCCGCCGCTTTGTATGGAGTCCAGAGGTCCACTTAGAAGATGAAAACCTTAGAGGGAATGCTCCTTCAGGCATCTCATTTGAATATAGCCACTGATCTGATGGCCTGAGGTTGTCGACTTGCTCACTGAGCTGGCTTGTTCTCGTTCAGATGTTTCGTCATCATGCTAGGTGACATTATCGGTAGAGCCTCCGATGAAGCGATGTTATTCTACTCTGCTTGGAATTTATACTCTCCAGTCTATTATGGGAGTAGTGTCATTTTCGGTTTTGATCTGTATGGGTTCCAATTGTATGTTTGTTGATTGCATTACGGGTGGAGAACCATGCCTCTAGGAATTCCCGTACGTGTCTATGTTTGGCTTGGGCTACTATCATATAGTATAGTATATAGCACAGTAGCCCAAGCCAAACATAGACATGCATGGGAATTCATAGAGGCATGGTTCTCCACCCATAATGCAATCAACAAACGTATACAATTGGACCCCATATACAAACCCATACAGATCAAAACTGGAAATGACACTAGTCACCATAACAGACCAAACAGTATAAATTCCAAACGGAGTAGAATAACATCACTTCATCGGAGGCTCCACTGCTGATGCCACCTAGCATGGTGACGAAATGTCTGAACAAGAACAAGCCAGCTCAGCGAGCAAGTCAACAACCTCATCCACAACCCAAGCTACCGAAACCTTAAAAGATCTGATGGCCTGGTGGCATAGTTTTCTGCCCAAAATACTTGAAAACAAAGTATTTTTCTTACCTCAGTGAAATCTGACTTTTTTCTGCATCAGCATCTTTATACATGACTCATTTTACATCAAACTCAACTATTTTGCATTTGTTGTTTCCCTATTAATTGAATAATTCCACATGACTTACTTCTCTCAATTCATTCCCCAGGGCTAAATCAAAAAGTACTTCTTTACTTAAAACAAAAATTGCTGGCGATCACAATGGGTCAGGCAGCATCTGTGGAGAGAGAGCAAGCTAACGTTTGGAGTCTGGATGACTCTTCATCAGAGCTGGCGTAAGGCATGGAGGGGCCAGCATTTATGGATGCTGCCTGACCCGCTGTGATTTGCTACATTTTTTTGTTTTCAGTACAGATTCCAGCATCTGCAATAATTTGCTCAGAATAATTCTTTACTTGTTGGATGAAAGCACTCTGAGTGGAATTTTACACGCCCCTTCTCATGGGATTAAAGGTGCAGAGGTCGTAAAATATAGCATGTAGTTTGTCTACCGCCTACCTCCCTGCCCTGACATGTCACCCATTTTACTCTTATGCAGCCATGGATGGGGCAGTCCAAACGCACCCCCCCCCCACATCAGATCTATTGAGACCCTCAAGTGGTTAATCAATGGTGACTTACCTGTCTCAGTTCACCCAACTGCTATTTGACCCAGAGAGGTGGGACGCCAATGCCAAGTGTATAGCTCAGTGGTATTAACTATGTAGGCTGGTGTTGTGCAAGGAGGTTACCTCCTTTGGAGAACCCCAGGGCCCATTGGAGGAACCCGACCCAACCTACTTCATGACCCAGCTTTAACTGTCCCCAACCCTGATGTCTCAGACTTGACCCCACCCCTCCAACTCTCTCACTGGGACTGTCAGCCAAACAATTCCCCTGACTCACCTTCAGACCAGCTCCATTCACTTTCCTTCTTCAGGGACTGCCCAAATGCACCTTGTGAAGGTGTCCACAGGGATTCCGTTTTCCAGAGAGCACAAATGAATGTCTGTGTTACAGATTAAATGGGAGTACATATCATTAGTCAGTGTTCCAACCATTGCTTTTTACATGTATAAATGACTTGGACCTGGGTATATAACAATAGGAAGAATAGGAGCAGAATTCAGGAGGACATAGTGAGACCGATGAAATGGGCAGGAAGTTCAAACTTAATGTAGAAAGGTAACAAATGATGCATTGTTTAAGAAAAAATGAAGAGAAGTAGCACAGTTTTAATGAAAGTGCAGAAACAGAGACTTGAGCGTTAGGCTTGTCAATTTTCTGGAGTTTCAAGGTATTAAAATCTCAAGGTATTAATGATTAATTTCCTAGAGCTGATGCAAGGATCCAGGGGGAAAAATCATAACAGCGATAAAATAAAATACTTTTCTATTTTCTTTGAATACTTTTCCTCATTTAAAAACGTAGGAGGTGGAAAAAGGGATATTTTTCTGAAGGGTCCCGACCCGAAACGTCAGCTTTCCTGCTCCTCTGATGCTGCCTGGCCTGCTGTGTTCCTCCAGCTCCACACTGTGTTATCTCTATATTTTAACAGACAGACAGTTATGGCATACTTGCAATTTAAACAATAATACTAGCCAAGTACTGAGGGAGTTCTACATCATCATTGGTACTATGGGCAGATTGTTCCACTGCTGTGGGGAGGGTGGGTGAGTATAGGCTGGGCAGGTATGGAGTTTTATGTCACTGGTCACAAGCCAGATCTTCAGCTCTGTCCCAATGCAGCCCTCACCCCTAAGAGACAAGATGGGATAGCAGTGGGGCTCCCAACCACAAGTGGCAGGATAGTCAATGAAGGCCTATTGTTTGGAGCTTACTGATACTTGTCTTCACTGGACCACCACCGTACACATGCAACTGCCTCACCCCTGTTCAGCCCCTACTCTGAGAACAGTGTCTGATGAAGCAATTTTCGATTTTAACTCTTTTATGGCTTCATGGTATACTTCCTCTCTCATTTAGCTGCAAAGACACCCACTGTTGCTTCCATGACATATGGAGTCTCCTATTGGTCCTCCAGTTTTCAATGCCCACTACCGATTTGTCATTTGATGGGGAACCCAGCCCCTGACCAACTCAGAGGAAATCACAGATGAGTCACTGTTGCCCACAGTGTGCTATTCTGACATTTGAGTCCAATGGTTGAGTTATGCAGCCTATGGGGCAAATCCTGCCTCAACTTTCAGATATACCATTAAACCTGTCCTCTCAAGTGAGCATAAAAGGTTCTGTGGCATTATTTCTATTAAGAGCAGCAGCTGGTGATATGGTCAACATTTATCCTCAATCAACCTTACTAAAACAGAATATCTTAGCATTGTTCTAGTGAAAAAAAAACAAACACTCTCAGTCTGTCGGGTTCACATAAACCCAAAAAAATTTATTTCAGCACATGCAAGGGCACAGGTCTTAGTCCCCTGACAAGCTTACCCAACAAATGAAGCTTACAGCACATATTTATAGTCCTAAAGTTCCTGTTCCCCATAACATAGTTCTACAATGTCATGACTCACTGGCTATCTGGCATCATGAGATGGTTTTGCTTAATGTTCTGGGGCATTCTGTTCTGCACACAGCAAACACGTATAACCTAACATTGCCAATCCCCAATGTCCCCCAATGGCATTATCACATTATTGTTAGTGTGATTTTTGGCTATTATGTTTCCCCCATCATGATACTGACAACATTTATTTTTAATAAGTGCTTAATTGCTACTAAATTGATTCGAGATATTCTGAGATTGTGATGTGTTGGATTGGTGGATTTGTGATTGACGAGGCTTTCTCCAGTGTAGATTTGTTTCTTAAGATTTGCGTGACACTGTCTTACAAATAGAAAATCATCTTGAGATACATTGAAAGAACACAAGCAAATTGCCAGACATATCCAATTTTCAGACGAACCTATGTGTCAGCCAGTGACATTGCATCATGCAGTCAAGTGCAAATGCAAAAATTTAGTGATTAAAGCTCTTGGTAGATCTATTTGCAGTAAGGATTTCAATTGTATATTGCACACTGAATGTTTGCCTGCTAAAAATGAAAGACTTATAAAGATTTTAAAATTTGCTGTGGACTGATAGTAAATGTTTGCAGACAATTATAAGCCATTCATCTTGCAATCCATATTCTATTACATTTCTGGAAGGATTCTGTCTTCTCCACTGTCTGTTCTTAGGACCAACACAGAATATAGTACCTGGCCATCAGTTTCTCATGGTCATGACACACTGCTGCTTTATCGTTGTTCATGAGAGCTCATTGCTTTGACCACATACCCCTCATGGTGATCAAACAAATCATATGACATGGCATTCTGTCACATGCTCAGACTCAATCTAATGCATTGGATTTCCACTGAATTCATTTTTACCTGGCAATTCATTACCTTTTACTCCCTTCACTATCTTACGCTAATAAATGCTGACAAACATATCAAGCCGATTTTGAACTTATGTTATATTCTCCTCCATATGCAGCTAACTTAGTTGTAGGAGTTAACTATTCTGATCCCTTTACAGTTGGATTACAAAATTTGCCCTTAACTGCATGTTTGAATATCCACGCATATGGTGTTTTATAATCTGTATCTATGTCTATAATCAATCTCTAATTCAAAACTTTAAAGGTAAAATTAATTTCTCCAAAATAAGAAATATGAGCAATACTTTAATAAGTTTCTATTCTTAATGTCTAAATTAATTTTGGATGGACTGTAGCAAATGGGAGATTGAGGTCAATATAACTGAAAGGGTCTGGAATATCTTCATTGGCATCATACGAATGAAGGGGAGGTTATGTAAGAGAACGTACACTTGGATTATTATAATTACTGCTTCTGCACAACTTGCTGAGGCAATTTTAAGTTAGACTCTTTTTGAAAAATTGGAAAATTAATCATTTTATGAAGTAAACGAGATGTTGATAGACTGCACTAGTGACAGCTTAAAGTGCCACATGGAGAGGATTCACCAGTAGCTAATGCCTTTGCATCATTCATACCCGTTTAGTTTTTTTTTTATCCTGTTAATAAATTCCTTTCCAAGTTAAAGACTGATTGCAGCAAAAGTGGGCGGGCTCTACATTAACAGAACAAATAAACCAGCTATGCAACGTAGTCTGTAAGGATTCTAATTTCATGGGTGTGGATCATATTTCATTCAACCTTCTTTTCACACATTCTTCAACAAGCTTCTGCCTTCTGGACTCTTGAGAATTATTTATCAAAGGTAGGAAATTATTTTCAAATGCAGTAATTTAAAAGAAAAAAGCTCTCTTTTAAGTATTACCTGTAGAAGTAAGTATTAAATTTCATTGGTGCAGAGCTGTTAAAAATTCTTAACAGTTATATTGTTTCTACGTCTGATGATAGCTATATGGGACTGAACGTTTTATTGTTTTGACATAGAAAATTATAATTCATTAATTATAATTGGTGGTACAGCAGCATCAGCTAATAGTTACTGTGGATGACTTTGTGTTGAAAAGCAGTCACATGTCCCAAAGGTTCATCCTTCTTTACCTTATTGCAAGCTCGTGTTTCAGTCCCCAAGTTAGAATTCCTGAGGTTGAAACATGAAGATGATTGTGTCATATGGTGGAAAGGGTGTCAGATACCATATGTTGGATGATTTTCCACAAACTATCCGACCCATCTTGGCTGTGGAGGAACACTAAATGGAAGCAACATAATTCCTAAAAAAGAGAGAACTGGGGAATAGAAGAAAGAATTCCTTGTCTGTCTCCCTTTCAGAGGAAGGGGAAGAAAAATGAGTTGGCTTATGCGTGTACAAACATCAACTGCCAGCAATGTACTTTTCTGGCCTTACAGCAGGTCAGCTGATTATTATCTTGGTCAAAGATGGTAATATATGTATGTGACCTTTAACAAGTTGTATGGTATTAAGATTTGTGTACTACCTGTAAACTATCAGTCATTTGGTTCTTCATTTAAACAAATTTTATATCTGGTGCACTGCAACTACCATGTGATAGAAAAAGATTGAAGTTTGACAGGTTCATCAGGTTCACAAAATTGCTATATTATTGTTTGGAGGAACAAGCTGTTTGAATATGAATCTGCTGACCTACCTTAATTTGCATAAAAACCTTTTTGATATGTCAAAGGCTAGCTTAAGTAGAAAGTGTTTCAAGATAGTTCCAGTTTATGGTGCAGTCGATAAGGATTCAGATTTTACCCCAACCAGCTCGTAAAGGACAGGGCTGTGCACAAAGGCATATGAGTTATTCTTTCAATCTACTGCAATCATTCATGTTCAGATCACATGCAATGGTAAATTTACTTATTGTAGATATTTCAAATACCATAATGAAATGTATTATGAGACATACAACCATGTTCCTGAAAAAAAAATGTCATTACTTCAACTTTGCAGTTATTCAGGAACAAATTACTGCAGATGCTGGAATCTGTACTGAAAACAACAAATGCTGGAGATCACAGCTAAGTTTTTCAGACTCACTTCCAGTTAAGGCTATCTGCCTCCTTTGCAGTTGATTGCACCCACTGAGCATCCTATTAACACTGCATCTATCAGGTAATGGCATCTTTATGCTGCCTCATTTTGCCTTATGCTGCCTCACCATGTTTCATTATGCATTTTATTTAACAAATGTTTCAAAGGTAAAGCTAAAATATTTGACTTGACATGCCATCTCACAACCTGACTTGGAAATATATCATTGTTCCTTCACTGTCACTGGATCAAAATCTTGGAACTCGCTCTCCAATGACATTGTAGGTTGACCTACACTAGGGATGAGCAATAAATGTTGCCCCAGCCTACAACCTATGAATGAATTTTTCTTTTTAGAAATTGTTTATAACAGAGTTTGCTTCAATATCTCTCTTACATCATGAATGAAAATTGGTAAACCTCAACTAGTTAGGTTTAGGCGTGGTGGTGTAAATATCATTTTACTTGACCAGTATTTCCTGCACAAGCAATTCAGGTAACTCAAATCTCACGTCAGGAGTCTGAGAATATGTGGCAGGATTTAATACAGAGACAGCGTTCTGCCCATTGGTTGGAAATGGGTGAGCTCACCTCCTCTGGCTCTGAAAGCCACAAGCAGATGTTACAGTTCTCAGACAATCATTTACATGAGGTGGTGACTTTCATCTCATTCCAGACTCCTCCCCATTCCCCCAAGAAGTCACAATTCCAGAGATCCCACTCTGCCAAAAAGTCTTCAACATAATGGAGGGTTTGGGAGAGAGGCTGGGACTCATTTCACTGGAACATAGGAGGTTGACAGGTGATCTGATATAGGTTTATAAAATCATGAGGAGTATAGATAAGGTGAATGGCAGGTGTCTTTTCCCTAGGGTGGTGGATTTCAAGACTAGGGGGCATATTTTTAAGGTGAGAGGAGAAAGGTTTAAAAAAGACACAAAGGGCAATTTCTTTTACGCAGAGTGGTTGGTATGTGGATTAAACCTCCAGAGGAAATGATAGATGTGGGTACAGTTACAACATTTAAAAGACATTTAGATAAGTACATGAATAAGAAATGCTTGGAAGGTTATGGGCCAAGCACAGGCAGTTGCGACTAGTTTAGTTTGGGATTGTGGTTGGATGGACTGGTTAGTCTGAAGGGTCTGTTTCCATGCTGCATGACTCTATGATTCTAGAGTTTTGCATTCAAATATACTCAAAACGTTCAGTAACATCATTTGCCATCATTTGATAACAACAATGGAGGTGGATTAAGATCCCTCCACGTAATATACTCACTGTCCCAATGTTAACCAATCTGCAAAATGCATACATAGAAAACTGCATTAGTTGGGTCATTGAAAAATCCATAGCACAATAATCTCGATGTCAACTGTTGTCTGAAACTTCTTCAACTTTTGTTGTGATTATTATAATTTAGAATGTTACAATCACTTCTGCCATTAGTTGAATGCTTCTCTCTCTTTGAAGATAATTAAATGGTGCTAAATGATCACAAATAATGTTTCAATTTTGTATGATTTCATTTGATAATCACTAGAACCCTATTTGATTACTTTGTGAATGACAAGTGATGGCTGAATGATCACATTTGAATATAGATGATCACAGATGAACACATATGATGCCTGTTGAACAGTGTTAGACATGAAAAGTCGTCAAAATTTTCTAATAGGGTGGCCAACAGTTCTTCAGTGTCAGCAACATAGCTACTGCTGGACTGCATTAGGCCAAAACCGGAAGTACAGTGAAAGGCATGGAACAAAGCTAAGTGGGTGAATGATTGTGGGTAGTCAAACAGGTCCTGGTGAGTGATGGAGGGGATTCATCAAGTGAGGTAGTTCTCCGAGGGACACAGGTACCTGACAGGAGGGACTCATTGACCATCCCAAAGCATCCAGAATATTCCAGGTAGCCTCGCTGTGTGGTTTGGATATACTCCTACCTCCCCACTCCTGGTGAAATGCAAGTGACAGTAGGAAACACCCCGGAATAGCCATCAATAGGCCACTTAAAGGCCCCAATTGCTCCAACAAAAGGCTACCCACCAAGCATCCACATATGATATTCTTCCCCTTTCTGAATCACCACCACATTGAGTCATAGAGTCACACAGCACGGAAACAGACCCTTCAGTCTGACATTTCCATGCCAACCAGGTTTCCCAAACTGAACTAGTCCCATTTGCCTGTGTTTTCCCCATATCCCTCTAAACCTTTCCTATCAATGTACCTGTCCAAATGTATTTTAAATGTTATAATTGTACTCATCTCTACCACTTCCTCTGGCAGATTCTTCCAAAAATGTACCACCCTCTGTGTGAAAAAGCTGCCCTGCAGGTCCCTTTTAAATCTTTCTCCTCTTGCCTTAACCTATGCCCTCTATTTTGAACTCCTCTTCCCTGGGAAAAAGATCTTGGCAATTCAGCTTATCGATGACCATCATGATTTTATAAACTTCTCTAAGGTCACCTCTCCAGAGAAAAAAAGTCTAAGCCTATCCAGCCTCTCCTTATAACTCAAACCCTACAGTCCCGGTTAAATCCTTGTAAATCCTTTCTTTTCCCTTTTCCAATTTAGTAATATCCTTCCTATAGCAGGGCAGACAGAACTGTACACAGTATTCCAAAAGTGCCCTCACTAACATCATGTACAATCTCAACATGACATCCTAATTCCTATAGGCAATGCTCTGATCAATAAAGGAAAGCATGCCAAACACCTTCATCACCCTGTCTACTTGTGACGCTACTTTCAAAGAACTATGTACCCGAACCCCTAGGTCTCTCTGTTTGACAACACTCCTCAGGGCTCTACCATCAAATGTGTAAGTCCTGCCCTGGTTTGTCTTACCAAAATGCAGCACCTCACATTAATTTGTCTAAATTAAATTTCATCTGTCACTCCTCAGCCCATTGGTCCAGCTGATTAAGATCCCCTTGGACTCTCAGGTAACCTTCTTCACTGTCAACTATACCACCAATTTTGGTGTCACCTGCAAACTTACCAACCATGCTTCTTATATTCTTATCCAATTCGTTTATATAACTGAAAAACAACAGTGGACCCAGCGCTGATCCCTGTGGAACATTGCTGGTCAAATGCCCCAGACCAAAAAATAACTCTATACCAACGCCCTCTGTCTCTTGCAATTTTATATCTAATTAGCTAGGTCTCTTTGGATCCCATGTGATCTTACTTCATTAACCAGTCTACCATGTGGAACTTTACCGAAAGCCTTACTAAAGTGCATGTGGACAATGCTCCGCCTTCATCTGCCTTCTTGGTCATGTCTTCAAAACACTCCATCAGGTTTGTGAGACATGATCTCCCATGCACTAAGCCATGCTGATTATCCCTAACCAGTCCTTGCCTGTCTAAATGCATCTAAATCCCTCACAATCCCTTCCAAAAATTCACCCAAAACTGATGTCAGACTCAATCGTCTGCAGTTCCCTAGAGTTTCCTTGCTGCCTTCCTTTAAAAAAAAGACACACACACACACAACAATAGCCACCCTCCAGTCTTCTGGCATCTCACCCATGGCTGTAGATGATACAAATGTCTCTGCAATTTCTTCCCTGGATTTCCCACAATGTCCTGCGATACACTGGATCAGGTGCTGGGATTTATCTACCTTTATGTGATTTAAGATCTCCAGCATCTCCTCTTCTGTAATGTGGACTGCTTTCAAGACATGACTATTTTCCCAAGTTTCCTAGCTTCGATGTCTTTCTCCACAATAAATAC